ATCAGAGACAGGAACTTTGCTCACTCAATTTTGGGATTGCCTTTGTTGCAGCTCATCGACACAAAGCTTTCCACGTCATCAATTCAATAACTTACCAGCCCCTATGTCAATCTGCCGCTGGACGAAGGCCCTCCCACGCCGAGTCGGTTCACGGAGATTGTTTGACCATACTTCACCACGACGGTCACCATGGGTTGGTGAATGGGAGGGGGGAGAATGCCACGGCTGGGTCAGATACCGCCTGCCACTGATGTTAGCCGTGCGGCTGGGCATTGACCTCAGGCCACCGCTGTGTTCCTAGCACAGTGTGCTGCTGTCTGCTGCACCGCGGCTCCCACATCATTGAACGCCGACCTCGTAAATTGAAACGCGCAACTCGCGCGGACGTTGACTTGGACGCGGGGGCCGCTTACGTAACTAAAAGAAATGGATTTTGTTCAGAAAAATTGTTTTGAGTGGCGTGCAAGGTAATTGCTTCGTGCACTCACCCCCCCCCCCCCCCCCCCCCCCCCCCAGCGGTTTTGTACGCCGGGCGTAAGCGCCAGCTTCTGGTTGCGGACGTGGTGGCACACAGCTTTTGGGGCAACCGGGGTAAAGGTTTCCATTTGAACGTTTCATATCCGTAACCGAGCAGACCTTTCCGCAGATTTTGCCTCCTGACTCCCCCCCCCCCCCCCCGGTGCGTGTTACGCCTCGCGACGGTGTTCATGCGTGGATGTGGACCGGCGGGCGGTGGCCAATTTCACGCGTGAAGTGTAACTGCCGCTTGCTAATAAGCCGACCCCCCCCCCTCCCCCGTAACCCGCAGCATGTTTTTATTCCGTTGCCCGTGACCCGTCTCTGACCCCCGCCCGCCCTGAGCAGCGTTGCATGACGTTGTTCGTTGTTCATTGAGAATTCAGCCCAACATTAAATGTCCACGTGAAAGGATTTCGCATTTGTTTTTACTTCCAGGCAGTACCGTGGCACTGTTGAATAATTTAGCGCTGGTTATTTTTCTCCAAAAGAGGCGGTCGGGTTCCTCTGATGTCAGAGAGCATCGGGGCCAGCCCCGCCGAGACCACCTGGGTTTAAATCCTAGTTTGAAGCCACCCATGGATGAGCTGCGTGACCAGGTGATTAAGTGTAGTGAGGTGATGGTCTAAGCCCCGGCTAGGTTATGACTGCACATTAAAGGGCCTTACTGAATGTGTTTTTTGTTGCTGTTGCTCACTCAATTCGGCTGATTCCAGCTGTTTGAGACTTTTTTTTCAGCTTTGATTAATGCGCGACGAAAAATCTTTGCGTGACATTAAATCGTGCAACACCGAGCGTGGACGAAGAGGCCTGACGTGAAGTGACTTGGGTTGCGTGACGTCATCTTCCATGGCCATTCTCTCATGCACAGGGTGATGCACTGGCAGCTGCCAGAGTTACAAATGTTAATTTATTTTTAACACGTTGCCTTTCGCGACCAATATCATCCATAATACAGTTTTTTTTTGGGTTAAATCGCATAAATGTGTCGGTAAACCCGCCACCACCCGATACAGCCAATTTGTAAGGTTTGTCATGTAAACAGAACATGCCAATTCGTTACCAGTACAGCACACCGGTGTGTTGGATTGTAAATGTTATGACTTTTCTCTACAACACACCGGTGTGCTGTACTAGTGATGAATTGGCATGCTCTGGCTTGCTCGCAGGTGAAATGAGGTGCCCAGGGTTTGTCTTGATCCCCGACAGGCATGCCGAAATATGCCTTCTAAGCCTCACACATTTTAGCAGAGAGTACTTTTTCGCTCTTGTCTTGATGAATTGGCCGCAGACATATAAAAATGCGTCTGCCCGATGCTTGCAGCCTCTTGATGCCATCTCAGAAAAATTCAGATTTGTATTCACTCAGGCAGCTGGAACTAAACTGAACTGGTGGGCTTAAGGCCCCTGTATTTAAACTACTATTTAAACTATTTATATTACTGGGAAGTTCTAAAATGTTCTAGAAGTTACTCCAAGTTTACGCAGCACGGAATCTATCTGGAATGTTCTGTAAAATAGGTAAATTTAAAAATATCACTGTCCTGGTCACAAAAGCAAAGTTTGTGGGGAATAATAGCCATTTTCTGTACTTCTGAGGCATAAGCAATTAGGAGACAACATTTACTATGCAGAAACCCCAAAAAAAATAGTTACACAGTGTTATCATTATCAAAACATAACTGCCATATACTCGTCCGTTAACCTGTGTTGGAGTTGCATATAGACAACATACAGAAGAGTGCCATGGTATTCATCACTTCATTGATCAGTGGCTCGTTTTGTGTGGAACACTTGACCGTTTGGAATATTTGGGGTTCCACGGTGGCGAGATGTTAACTACCTCACCTGGTATACAGGAAGTTGTACGTTCCATCCCGAGCCTGACGCCTGCTGTATATGTTGAGTTTGCGTGTCTCTCCTCATGGTCGCGTGGATTTTTCTCTGGTTCCTTTGGGTTTTCCCCTCCACATTTAGAATCAACGTGCCTTTAGAGTATTTGTCTGCTATTACTTTCCACGTGGTAAGCCGCTTCGTTGAGCTATCATTTGTGATGGCCAGGTCGCTTCTGAAAAAGAGCTACAGAGCTCCGTGGGCCTTACCTGGTAAAATAAATACAAATTGTTTATATTGATGAGATCGCTGATGTACAAAAGCAGTGAATGTGTCATTAAATTCTCCCTTTTAAGAAGGTGTCCTCACATGAACTCGCCTATCTTTTCCGCATCAATTTTTTTTCAATATGCTTATTTACCCAAAAAAGCCTCTGTTTTTATAAAATGAGGGTGCTGCCAAGTTTTTGTAGTTGGAGGGGGAGTGACGGTTGCTCTAAAATACAATGCAAGTAATATAAATAATAACAATGCTTCTTTCGTTAAAGTCACGTAGAAGGGAAGCAAGAAAATAATATATTTTTATATTTATTATAATATATATTTAATAATAATATATTATTATTTTATTGTTTCCCTTCTACGTGACTGTACCGAAAGAACCAAGAATATGAATCCATGCAGTCACGAAAGCTTTAAATAAAAAAATAACAATGCTATTTTAATTTTGATTTAAAGCTTTCGTGACTGCAGGAATTCATATTATTGGTTCTTTCGGTAAAGTCACGTAGAAGGGAAACAATAAAATAATAAAAACATAAAACAATAAAATTCTCACGACGTTTCGACTGCAACACAAGCAATCATCATCAGGTGTGAAAGCCACAGCAAGAACATTTAGAAAAAAGTGGCGTTTTTTAACGTTAGCACCACGAAGAGCGATTTGGCAGTTTTTCAGATGGACGAGTCCATCTATGTTCGGAAAAGAGGAGGGGGGAGACGAAAATAATTGATGCGGTCTGAAAGCCACCGTAAGCGTGAACAATCAATTAAGACCCGAAATGGTTTATCAAATCCTTCCAATGATTGCTAAGCCAGAATCCATCTTCTCGGTTGAAATTGTCTCTGTGTTTGTATATGTGGATAGCCTCATGAACGAATCTCTCATGGTAGCCAGATGGCTTGCAGAGAACCTCTGTCTTGGAGAAGTCAATGTCATGTGAGCCTACTGAATTATAACAATGATCTGCCGCGGCCGAGGTGTTGGTCCTACCATGTTTTAGGTCTGCTTTGTGTTCACGGATGTGGTCCGAGACATGTCATTTGGTTTCTCCAATGTAACTACTACCACACAGGCAACTTAGTTTGTAGACGCCAGGGTACTGTATGTCCGGAATCACATCTTTTACACACTGGCTATGTGTTCCTGGTCGGATATGCATTGGACTCTATGGTGCAGATTTGAGACTGACGCCGTCCAGACATGAAGAAGGACCCTTGTGAGGAGCCATTCAAAACCATCACTTTACCCTACATTGCGGGGATCACAAAAAGATCTCCAAAATCTTGAATAAACACGAGATCCAGGTCCAATTCAACACATTACATAAAATCCGTGATCTGGTTCCATCTGTAAAATATGTGATTCCGGACATACAGTACCCTGGCGTCTACAAACTAAGTTGCCTCTGTGGTAGTAGTTACATTGGAGAAACCAAACGACATGTCTTGGACCACATCTGTGAACACAAAGCAGACCTAAAACACGGTAGGACCAACACCTCGGCCGTGGCAGATCATTGTTATAATTCAGTAGGCTCACATGACATTGACTTCTCCAAGACAGAGGTTCTCTGCAAGCCGTCTGGCTACCATGAGAGATTCGTTCATGAGGCTATCCACATATACAAACAAAGAAAGAATTTCAACCGAGAAGATGGATTCTGGCTTAGCAATCATTGGAAGGATTTGATAAACCATTTCGAGTCTTAATTAATTGTTCACGCTTATGGTGGCTGTCAGACCGCATCCATTATTTTCGTCTCCCCCCTCCTCTTTTCCGAACATAGAAGGACTCGTCCATCTGAATAACTGCCAAATCGCTCTCCATGGTGCTAACGTTAAAAAAACGCCACTTTTTTCAAATTTCTCTTGCTGTGGTGTTCACACCGGATGATGATTGCTTGTGTTGCAGTCGAAATGTCGTGAGAATTTTATTGTTTTATATTTATATTATTTTATTTTTTCCCAACTACGTGACTTTACCGAAAGAACCAAGAATATGAATGCTATTTGAGTTTATACATTTGCGGCACATGGCGTAGCACCTGCCATTGGCTGCAGGAGTGACGTGAATTAATTGCGCAAGACGTAACGCAAATCGAAAACGCGTCCATTTCCGCACGCGCGGTAATCCGACGTCTTGTGAGCTTAAGAATCCTATATCGATGAACTGATGCATCGCTCCACCCTCGGGGGCATGACCGTACTGTTTGTCTTCCCGTCCTTGATCTCTTTTTTTACCTCCCTCCCCCCCCCCCCACAGCCATCTCATATCGCGCAAAGCCTTGAGTTTAATCATTATATATTTGTAATAATCCTCTACATGCCCTGTCTAATTGTGCCGCGTTGTCGCTCGCATCTTTTTCGCAGAAAAATGCCAAGGGGCATGAGATGATCGATTTGGTCTGTGACCACCTCAACCTCCTAGAGAAGGACTACTTTGGGCTGGCCTACAGGGACTCCAGTGAGCAGAAGGTAACGGCAGGGAAGCCAGCCAAACCCGAGGTGATGGAACGAAAGCGGTGAACGCCCTTTTCCTTGCGCCTACCACTAACACTGATCACAAGCAACACGTTTGTTGACAAGCACCGCGTGACTGTCCTGCACTCGCTCGCTCACACACCCACGCGCCGCCGATGCAGTAAAGTGTAATTTGACATTATTGCAATGTATTACGCGTGTTAAACTTATTTCGCACCGTATGCAGCCAACCGCGACATTTCTAATTAAAGCTGTATGATCGGTACTCGCGTACCATTTACACTCTTTTGTCACCGCATTATTTGTTGGCCAATGATGTATAACTTATTCTTGGTTCTTTCGGTAAAGTCACATAGAAGGGAAACAATAAAATATAAAAAAATATGAAATTTTTATTTTATTTTTTATTTTATTGTATCTCTTCTACGAGACTTTACCGAAATAACCAAGAATATGAATCCCTGCAGTCACGAAAGCTTTAAAGCAAGATGTATAACTTGTTTTTTGTTTTATTCCACGTGACCGTGAAGCTGAGTTTGTGATTTTTATTCATATTCGTGGTTGCTGCCACTGTCTGATGTGGCCAACGCAGTGGACTTACAATCCCAGAGGTCCCCAGTTCAATTCGATCTCCAGGCACGGCAGTAGAAACAACGGTGCCGGTTTGTTAAATCAGTTTAGATGATTAAGGTTGATTGGCTGCCCTAATGTTCACATGATGATAAGCCTCTTCCGTTGAGCTATTATTTGCAGCCAGGTCGCTTCTGAAGAAAGAAGCTAATAGCTCAGTGGCCCATCACTGGTAGAATAAAAAATAGTTTATTTTTATGTTTTTGGTCATATGCTTTCCTTTCCCATACATTACACTCCGATTGTGTTTTTGTATTGTTTGTTGTTGTAACTTTCTTGACCCACCCTGACTGGGCATCTGTGAATTTTTTTTTATCTTTATAGCTTATGGGATTCCTCCCATCCCTGCATCTGTCCACCCAGCAGAATATAAATGGACTTCACCGCAGCTTCTCAGTCGATCGGCAGGTCACGTAGTAGGTGAGGTGTGGATACTCCCACCTCTTAACAAGATGTCTGGCCAGCATTGGAGAGTAGGCCAAGTACCCTCGAGAGCGGGCTGCTCAGAGCTCCCTTTAGTGGAGGGCCTTCTGCCAACAGTGGCGAGAGCCAAGCAGTTTGATGGCTGTACTTTTACTGTCACCTGTTATACACATTATACTGTACGTGCACTAGTGTTATTTTTTTATTTTAAGCGGACGACCTGTTGTGTTGCCAAGTATTTTTTTTATCCTATTCCCACTCAGCTTGGCTCTTCTCGCGATAAATCCATGAGCAATCGTTGCATGAGTAGCGTTTCCAATGGAATGGAATTGGTGTGGATGGGGGGGGCAAGGGGAGGGGGGGGCAGGGGGGTGGCGGTGGAGGAGGTGGTGGGATGGGGTTGCTGGCTCAAAGAGTTCCAACAGCTTAAAGCGTCAAAAATCTAGACATCGCTTGGCTTCTTTATATGAACTTACGAAAGTTCATTTTTTATTTAATGCGATGTTTAAACCACCCTGGGGCGGTCCGTGCCTCGCTTATTGTACGACCGCAATCGCCTGATGTGCAATTACAACAGATGGCATAGTTCGCAACCGTATAGCAGGAGAGAAAAAAACTCATCCCTTCAATCAATAACGCTGCCCCGGTGACGATGAACCGTGAAATCGGCAACGTTTCTTGATATGCGTTGAGCTCTTCGTTGTTATTCTTTGGTTCTTTTGGTAAAGTCACGTAAATAGAAAAATAATAATAAAAAAAGAAAGTTAGTAAAAATAATACCAATAAAATAAAAAATGTTTTAAAAACCCACTAATGTAGACCGTAGCCTGGTTCTTAATCTGAGTGTACTGGCAGTCTATAATGTAGACTGTAGCCTGGTTATTACGTTTGGTGAGTGTTCTAGCAACCTAGAATGTAGACTGTAGCCTGGTTCTTAACCTCTGTCAGCGTATTGGCAGTCTATGATGTAGACTGTAGCCTGGTTCTTAAGCTGGGTGAGTGTACTGGCAGTCTATTGTAGAGTGTAGCCTGGTTCTTAACCTGAGTGTACTGGCAGTCTATAATGTAGACTTATTCTTGATTCTTTCAGTAATTTAAATATAATTAAAATATATATAAATAAAAACCACGTTTCGATCGCAACACAAAGTGGTCGTCATCAGGAAAAGGGGGGTTTAGCCTCTAAAGGCAAACTGTTTATAAAGGTTTAGAGATGGGCGTAGCCCAAGTGTGTCAGCAGCATGGGCGGGGCAGCTAATGTTAATGTGCCCAAGTGTGTCAGCAGCATGGGCGGGGCAGCTTATGTTAATGTAGGAGAAAGCAACGCCAACGCAGTGGGTCTAGACCAATCAAAGGGCCGCCAGGCAATCATTGCACCTCGCTCCACACACCCACACTGCTGACGGTAGAGGTTGACAAGAAAACACAAATCAAGTCATGACCCAAAGTGGTTGATGACATCTTTCCAATGATTGCTGAGTTTATAACCATCCTCTCGGTTGAAATTGTGTCTGTGTCTATATATATGGGTGGCTTCAGGAACTAATCTTTCTTGGTAGCCAGTAGGCTTGCAAAGTACTATCGTCGTAAAGAAATAAAATTCGTGTGAACCAGCCGCATTAAAATAATGATCAGCCACGGCAGAAGTATATTGGTCCTACCGTGTTTCAAATCTTCCTTATGCTCACAAACACAGTCCGAGACATGTCGCTTGGTTTCCCCAATGTAACTGCTGCCGCAGATACAGCTTAGTTTGTAGACGCCGGGATATCGCATGTCAGGAATCTTGTCCTTGACAGATGGGATCAGATTACGAATTTTATGTACTGTGTTAAATCAGACCTGGATCTTGTGTTTGTTCATGATTTTGGTTACCCCTGCTATGTATGGCAAGGTGATGGTTTTGATTGGATCCTCAGATGGCTCCTTCCTCACGGTTGGGGTGATGGCTTTGTGGATTGTGTAGTCATAATAGCCATTTTATTTTTATTCACTTTATTATTATTTTTCTATCTACGTGATTTTACCGAAAGAACCAAAGAATATGAATTCCTGCAGTCACGAAAGTTTTAAGTCAACTCTTCGTCGTTGCTCGTGCTTTTCTTGCGCCCCTGCCGAAGCAGCGTCACGTCATTTTTCGCACCGTTGTGGAGTCAACACCGACCCCACCGGCTTTCCCATTCACCATGGGCTCTTACTTTTTAAAACACAAAGCATCGGCGTGGGACAGATGAGCCGCTGTGCAGCCCAGCCTACCGTTGGAAAATCCATCGAATGAATACGTCTTCGGAAAAATTACGTTCGCTATCAAAGGTTGCTATTGAGCTTGAATTTTGTAAGAAGACGGAAGCAAGCACATCGGCTCCAAGACCAGACTGAACATCTTAAGAACATGCGTATTCAGTACAGCTTTGTATGCCTGCGAGACGTGGACATTAAAAAGGCTGACAGATAACATGTTGTTAGCACTCTAAATGTATTGCTAATAGAAGGATACTACTGCATCTAAGCTGGATCCAAAGAGCGACCAACGTTAGAAGTAATAGAAATGTTTTCACGCACTGGAAGAAGATGACCTGATGATGATGATCCCGGCAGCGATGAGACAACAACAACACGAACATTAAAAGTGTGTTGTAGTTGTTGTTGTTCAGAAAAATGGAAGGAACCCGAAAGAGAGGAAGGCCTAACCAGAGAATGGCTTTGACGACGACATAAGCGATCGGTGCCAGAAAGATGTGTGGCTCAACTTGAGCGTATTGGCACTAAAAGACAGCGAGGAAAGTGGAAACAAATGACGATGTCCAGTGGACACCTTACGGGGCCATCTGCCCATGGGATCGTGACGTCGATGATCATGTTGATGGTGATGTAAGAAGCGCCCACGAGCAGACGCGAGAAGTGGGCTTCTTTTTTCAACTCGGAAACGTTGCGACCGTTTGTCGATGCACAACGAGGTGGGCCAAGCCACGCAGAGCCCCCGTGGTGTTGATGCGCCTTCAGGAAATTGAGGCGATTCGTCTTGCCCGGGCGTCGTTGGCGTGGAGGAGAGTGGAAAGAGGCGGGGGGGGGGGGGGGGCAGTGCGATGGCGCGATTTCCAATTACAGGGCTAATAACGTTTGAGAAATTTCTCTGCAGAACCTTGCACTGTGCGGGCGAGGCCAAAATGCCCCTCTAAATAATCAAGTATTGCATCATTTAGACGCCTACGGAAATTGCCTCTATGGTACTGCATATATATTAAAAGCCAGACTTTAGCCGTCATTTTATAGTCGAAGTCAATATCTTAGGTAACCTTGTTCGGAGAAGGATTTTTTGCTGCTGCTGTTATTTTGCCCAAATCATGGCTCCAGAGGCAAATCCAATTCTGCACTACGTCGCGGTCATGTTACGCTTACCGCGTGTTCTTTCGCCGATTCACAAAGAAGACGCGGAAGACAAAAACGACTGACAAAATGTGGAGCCGCTTGAGAGGACCGTGCTCGTTCACGCACGAGCGGCGAGATGAAACGTGGCCAGACGGGACTGAGGCCCACGGTGGTTTCACAGGAGAGGGACGTCGGTGTTCAGCAGTTGATCGAGAATGGCAAATGCCTGAGAATGGAACCTTGTCGCAAAGTGATGTTGAATCCAATGTCGTGACCCTTGATAGTAGAGATGCTCTCCTTTCATTGGCATCTACCCTGGTTGTGAATAAAGATTAAAGTACAACGACAAAAAAACCCATTTTAATGTGTTTGGACTGTGGAAAGTTTGCATAACGCACTGACATCATTCATTTTTCTCTTTCACTTCAGAACTGGCTAGACCCTGCCAAGGAAATCAGAAAGCAGATCAGAAGTGAGTATGCCTGCAAGGATAATTACATTGCATTATGTTGCGCGCGTGAACGTATGCTTATGTGTGTGTTGCAGAATTAAATTGGCTCATTTTATCTGCTCTTAAAATGCATTTCTTTATTATGCCTTCGATTATCGGCAGACGGCTGACTGTTTGCATACATCGCTCACAGCCATTTGGATCACGGTTACTTTAAATACAGCCACTCTTCCCCCCCCCCCCTGAACGCTCACCCAAGCAACCATTAAACAGTGGTAGAACGTGTACTTTAATGGTACGTAGCTAACGAACACTATGTGTGGACAGTGCAACGTCCCATATCCGACCGTCACATATCTGCCACGACCACTTATCCGGCCACAACCAGTGTGGTGTTTCTGCGTGGGTGTAAGTGTAATCTTGCAAGTTTTACACCTTTTTTTACGTACAGTCATGTATTCTTAATCTCGCACAGTGAAGCATTTTCCCATGTTTTCACCAGAAACACGTTTTATATTTGCTCAGTGACTTTTTGAGCATGTGAAGTAACTGTCATTTGCTCATAGATGTTCACAGATCCAACCTTGTTAGACAGCCGCCCCTATAGCTCGGCCTGCAGCGAATCGGGTACGCGTCGTGGAAAACTGTCGCTCTACATGCATCGCACGGGGACAACGTTTCGCGCATTTTGATGTTCCGATTGTTCGCGGTTTGTGCTGTGCTTAAAAAAAAATATCCATTTGTGGATTTTGACTTAACTTTTTATAAATGTATGCATGTTGAACTTCCTTCGCACCGTACGTAGCCAACCGTGCAAATCGGAGGTGCTCATTAGCGCTCGCTGTGTCACTCCAAAGTCCACTGGCAACTAACTGTCCATCTCCCTCCCTCCCTCCCTCTCTCTTGAGACCCGTATTTGATATGTGATCAGGCTCTCCTCTGTGCGTGTTTTTTCTTCTCACGCCGGGTGCATCCTTTGCTCACTCTCTCCGCGTTTGTGCGCGCGCGTGTGCGGTGGGCACACAAATTTGTGCTGCTTGCGGGATCGCTCCTCGTTTGGCAGTCGCCCGATCCTCCACGGCGGTGCGTGCGGCGGGCCCCTGTGAAGAAAGATTAACCATCAGCTGTGCATTATGGGTAGTAGAGTTGCGGCAGAGAGAGAGAGAGAGGAGTTGTGGCTGCCCTAAAACCAATTGACATATGTTGTTAAATTCGGAGATCCCTTTGCACGTGCCGCTAATATATATATATTTTTTGGGAGGAGGGATGCGGGATATTAGTGATCGGGTATACTTTGTGGTCGTTATATTTTTAGTAAGGAAATATTAACGGGTAAATGCTTGGTAATAACCAGAGCTTTGCGACGGTTGTATCCCGTTGCATTCTGATTGAAAATCCCTTAGGCTTGGTTCAAGTTAATTAAATCGTCCCAGCCCGCCGCTGTCGCTGTCCACCCAAGCAGTGTAAATAGGCACAATGGTCAGTCGGCAGGTTTACTGTGTTGGGGTAAAGTGTGGGAACTGAGACATGTCTGGCCAGAAGAGAAGAGTTGGCCAAATACCCTCCAGAATGGCTTTTCAGAGTAAGAAATTCCTAAGCTTTTCAGAGTAAGAAATTCCTCGGCTGCGCCTTTAGCTTTATTTACCTTTCACGTTGCATTTGCATCCTATACAGTGCGTTCTTTCAACTGGTAACTTTTGGTTATTTATTTATAGGCATGAATTTGATGTTTGCTGCATAATAATAAAAACGAAAATCCCGATCTGCACGTTCAGAGGATAAACCGCAATTACCCCCATAGTTTTATTGAGAGCCTTACTATAAAATGCAAGAGCTCAAAAGTATGGAGGTTAATCTCTATAGCGAATGTCTTTGGGGAAAGAAAAAACTGTCCAAAATCCAAGTGGAGATCTGTAAAAGCCAACGGTTGCCACAGCGTTGGCTAAAACCGATCGCAAGTCAGAATTTGACTTGTGCTGCAAGCACATCAGGCATAGGATGGGAATATAATTAATGAGTCCAGCGAGGACTCTCGGCGTCAATGTTAATGAAGATGTGATGCGGTTCAATCTTGATTTGAAGCTTTCGTGACTGCAGGAATCCATACTCTTTGGTTCTTTCGGTAAAGCCATCACGTAGGTATAAAATAAAATAAATCACGACGTTTCGGGCGCAACACAAACGTCCGTCATCAGGTGGGAAAGCATGGTCTACTGCTGAGGCAGTATGTGATGCGGTGTTTTCTCACCGCAAACACAAGCCTTTCATATAACGCGCATAACCTCCACCTTGTTACCGCATTCTTTCGTGCGCCCGTCCTCTTGAGAGTGCTGTCTCTGCGTTGATGTTTATTGACATTTTACAAAATAGCGGGGACTTTAATTTACGCCACACAAGAGGGAGGATAAAAAAAAACAATAAAAATGACACGCCACGCATGTCATTGGCCCCCCACCCTCCCCCCCCCGCAACAATCCAAACGGGGGGCGGCTCTCGGTTGCTGCGACTTGGACGTCGACGTGGACGTCGACGACCTCGCGCGGTTCGTTGCTTTCCCAGCGGCAGTCGGGGGCCGCTTACGTTGGGCACGTTAATCTGCCCAAGATTGGCGTGTTGGTGAAGTTCTGTTTTGTTTCTTGATTCGGAGCTCGGAACATTTCAGGAACGACACTCAGAATTTCAATTGGCCTGCGAGTGCAGATGGCAACCGACGTTTATCGCCGTTGGAAACGAGAGAATTTGGCAGCGATGTTCTTTCTGCGCCGGCCTGATTGGAATACCTTATTATACTGTAGGCCCCGTTTGGCCGACAACCCTTGGAAAGGGTCGTTTTTGCCGGCGCGTGATTCTCCGCTCCGAGGACACTGTCACGTAAAGAAAAATTAATTGCGCTTGTGCGCTCTGATATGGTCTTGCCAAGCACTTTGCATCGTACGCAATTGGGTGGAGGGGGGTGTGGTGGGCAACTCTGGTTTGGCTGCAGCCAGGGTAGTTTGCGAGGTGAAGTTCGGACAGAGAGAGTGCCCGCCGGCTGTGACATCCGCTGGTTATCTGCCACCGCTAATGGAACACCGCGTGATGAATTATAATTTTTTATATATTTTTTTGGCTTGCATCTCTGGACGTGGTGCTTGGCATGTGACCAATCATAGTTAACACAGCTGGCGTGGGCGGATTGCCGGGCTTGTGATATGGAGGACAATGCTTATCTGGGACCGTGGGGTTCATATATGCCATGTGCTGGCCACAGCGTTGGACAGGGACTGCACGTGTGGCTTCGGGTTTTTGTAACTATTTCTTTGCTATGTTTAGTGTACAGATGCGTCGGTATTTTTGCACGGTTGCGCTGTGCATATATCTCTACTGGTTGTACAACGTTCAGTGCAGCCTTGAAAGCAAATCGAGGAGTCCAAACTCTGTAACTGATGAGGGATTTTTCTCCCAGTTAACTCCAAGCTGAGATTAGGAGCACTCCGTTTAAGAGTGTGCTCCTAATCTCAGCTCGTTACCTGTATAAAAGACACCTGGGAGCCAGAAGTCTTTCTGATTGAGAGGGGGTCAAATACTTATTTCCCTCATTAAAATGCAAATCAATTTATAACATTTTTGACATGCGTTTTTCTGGATTTTGTTGTTATTCTGTCTCTCACCGTTAAAATAAACCTACCATTAAAATTATAGACTGATGATTTCTTTGTCAGTGGGCAAGCGTACAAAAGCAGCAGGGGATCAAATACTTTTTTCCCTCACTGTAGCTCGGTGGGCCTTACCTTATAAACTCATCATAACGGAAAAAGAATGCAATCCGGAAGTCTCAAATAACGCCCAAAAATGCGTACAAAAAAATGAGCCTTTAGTGTGCTATGCAAAAAAGCATAATCGGTTTGTGAAGCACTGCATTGTAGTCCTTTTGATGGGTCCTAGTATGGGTGAAACCAGTCTGCCGTTGTCTCTGTCTCACTTGCTGCCTGTCAGTTGCTCGCATTTGCTTCAATTTATTTTTATGGCAACCTCAGACAAGTGGACCACAATGAAGTGCTTCAGGAACTGTTGATGTTTTTTGTCACACAGTGCACACAGGCCGAGAGCATTTGTTGGTGTTTACGATCACCTGCGTGGTTTATGCACCTAAGTGAGCGCCAGCTGGTGGATGCTGCCTTCTGTAGTGTGGATCGAAAACTATACAATTTGGATAAAGGGTGGCAACTATTTTAAAAGTTGGCTCTGCTTATTTCAGGCTTCTGTGATATCTGTCTATCGTGAGACAGAATCGATGCAAATACATGGATTTTATTTGTTCTTTTGTCATCTCCTGCCCAATGACTCCCGTCCGTTCACATTTATTTAATTGCTTGCCGTCACAAATTATTAAAATCGTCAGGACTCCCAGATGGGCATTAGCCGAGCAGCTCTCTGCTGATGATGGATATCAGTCATGTGTTGTAAACAACCTCTTGTCACCGCCTTTCCATTTCGGATGTTTCCCTGCTGAGCCTCGTTGACAGAAGCGCCGGCTCTGGGCGCGGAGCGGCCTCGGCCTTTTCAGCATATGCGCTTCAGCCGCGCCGTCGATCAGTGGGAACGCGCAAAACTTAACGAACTTGTATTGGCGATTCGCTGGGGAAACCGTGCGGTGATATTAGCTGCTCAAGACTGGCGATGATTGCCTCGCCCCCGCCGCCCTGGGGTTGGGGGCCAAGGAATGCAGTGCGCCCAAGGGGATGACCCAAGAGGAGATGGAGCGACGAATTCAGTTCGTGCGCTACCGGGTGCCAGGTCGATTATTGCATCGCAGGAATGCGAAACAGCGCGATGGCTTTGGCAGGCCTTCATCCAGCAGTGGATTGATCATGACCGATGGTGGTGACCCACATAAAAAAATATCCCGTTGTATTTCAAGCCACTTGGGATTATTTTTTTTAGTTGACGCTGCCAGCCTTTGTGCCGGACTGCACGGTCTGCACAATTTGTCTTTAAATTGAATTCAGGGTGGGGTGGGGAGGGAGGAATGGAAGGGAAGG